AGCAATGATTTGGAAGGAATCCAAGTCCCTGAATGACCATGGGGAGCTATGTTGCTTACATCTTTCACACTGTTAAAGGAGAGAGAAATAAACTTTGTTCATTAAGCTATTACATTGTACAAAGCTTAGTTTTACCTGGATCACATAGCCTTGAGGACTCTGGGAAAGCTTTTTGGAGGAAGTGATACCTAAGCTGAAGCCATAGGACTGAACACTTACTGAGAGGAGTCTAGGGCAAGGTGGAAAGGAGAATGTCTATTGTGTAAGGTGTGTTAAGGCCCAGAGGTAAGAGACGTGGTGATTTGAGATGGACACATTGAGACCAAGAGTGGCCTTGGAATGATGAGCATGCAAAGGGATGTCAGGGCCTAATCTAAAAGGGCTTTGGAAGCCACTGTACCAGGAGAGTGGCAGAATCTGATTTATACTTTAAAAGAGAGAGTTTGGCTGCACTTGGAGTGTAGCTGGAGGAGTAATGCTGTGGCAGGGCCCACAGAGGGGTGTGGGAGTACATCAGTACATCGGAGTGAATGAGTGGTACTCCAGGAAGGTGGTAGAGGATGGAGGGCAGGCGATACTTTTACAGGATTTGTAAAGGTGGAACATGCAGGACTTGAGGACTGCATGGATACCAGGGGAAGGCAAGCAAGAAATTCAGGAAACCGTCACATTTTGGTTTGGATCCCTGGATGCATGGCAGTCATAGTTGCTGAACAGGGACCTAGAAGAGAAGGAAATTGAGGATATGGGGTGGGGCAGATGCTGTCAGAGGATAAAGAGCTTGGTTGGGGGCATGGTGGATCTGAGGTGTTGCAACACATCTGTGCCAATCAGGGTCCTAATAGGAAACAAGTGGTACACTTGACTTAAGATACTTTTGCAGAGGGTTTATTTACAAAGGGACTAATTACCAAGGTGTGGTGGAGTATGGGCTAACCACAAAGGGGAGTGGAGGAAAACAGGCTAGCAACAGCACACCTGTTACCAATACTAGGCTGAAGGTGCTGGGGGAGGGAGAGGAGTCAGGTGGAGCAGGCCAGTTTGAAAGGAGAGGTGAGCTTTCAGTCAAGGGGCACAGCCAGCCCAAGGCAACCCCTCACAGAGGGGCCATGAAACTAAGTTCCCTCACCTCACTCACCTGTCTCCATTGGATTTTCTTCCAGGACCCACCATTGGCTACATTGAAAGCCAGAGGGCCCGAAAGCAGCAGAAGGATCTGAAAAACATGAGATGGCTCTAGACTGAAGATACAGAGTTGGTATTTCTCAGGTAGCCAGAAATAGCACTATTCAGCTGCCTGTGTTGATTTGTTACTTTGCTATGGTGATTTGCTTTTCAGAAACTATTTCTAAAAATAGCTAATAAAGAAATTGGCCTTGGATTCTTGGTTTCCAGAGCAAGACCATGCTTCATTTTAGCAGTGGTTAAAGCATTCGGCTGCTAGCCAAAGGATGGTGGTTCAAATTCACTAACTGGTCCACAGGAGAAAGATGAGGCCGTTTGTTTCCATCAAGATTTACAGCCTTGGAAATCCTATGGGGCTCCTATAGGGTTGCTATGAGTCAGAATCAACTTGATGGCAATAGGTTTGGTTTGGGGTTTACAACACATTGCCCCATAAATGTTTATGAAGTAGGTTTTATTGTTCATTTTGCCGAAGAGGAAACTGAAGCTCAGAGAATATGTGATCGTTCAGGGTCACAGGGCTAGTGTCAGAGTCCGGAGCCTGAGCTTTGACCCACCATAAGTTTTGACTGGTGACTTCCCTTCTTACTTGCAAAGGACATCGGTCTCTTCCTTCCTCGTTCATGTCACTAGAAGATTGCATCACATCAAAGGGTTATTACCAGTTACAGGTTGGCCTCTCTCAGTAGATCTCAAACTCTTCAAGGGCAGGGTTAATAGCCCTTTGTGTCCCCAGACACTAGCACAATGGCTAACATAAACAATCCATGATACATTTGAATGGATAAATATATATAAGTGACAGTACCTCTTTTGCCTTTAACACACGGTGATGAGAAACCAATCAGATTTATACATTAAAATGTTGTGTAAACTAAAATACTATGTGACAGCAAGGTATCAGCTTAAGTCACTATCAGTTTTAATACCTTAACTCAAGTTAGTTTATGTGATTGCTCACTCTCAGAACAGAGGGTTCAATGTATGAAGAACAGACAAGAGGCCAGAGTTACCACCGTGGAGCACGTATGAAGTAATAAAGTCTGGAGGCTCTCATTCTGGGCTGCTGATGTCGCCCAGCTTGCCCACTCAGGAGTTGGCAATAAAATAGAGTAATTACCTTTTTTGCTATCCTCAAGGAAAGTTAAGTGAACATGTAAACTATCTCTGTTTTAAGCTTCATTTTCACACATTTGTTCTTGCTCCCTTCTATCTGCCGGCCAGCCGACAACACCAAATGAACTTACAACAAACAAAAACATTTTTCTCAATTTTTTTTGATAAAAATTATAAAAGTGGCCTATGCTTACTGTGAAAAATGCCAGCAACAGAGAAGCTGTGATGCACAGTTCACACCTCCCCACTCTCTGACCCACTGCCCACTGTGAAACACTTGATGCATCCTCTTCTCCTCCCCTGGCCCTTGCCTTAGAGGCAGCTGCATGGCTGGGAGCCGAGGGGGAGGTGGGGTCGAGGAGGGGGCTGGTGTGGTTAGGACATTAGTTATACAGGGGGATTGAGAAAATATTTTTAGGATAATGAGAGTGGAGCTTTTTTACTGTTTGAGAAATGAGTTACAAAATAAGGAAAGAGGAAACACTAGAAACCGGAGGTGTTGGATTAATGCAAATGTACGTTTTTCAAAAACTGTATATAAGCTTTGGTGCTGTAGTGCCTAATGCATTTGACTACTAACTGGAAGGCTGGCAGTTCAAACCCACCAGCCACTCCTCATAAGAAAGACTGGGCAATCTATTTCCATAGAGATACTGCCTTGGAAACCCAACGAGGGGTTGTTATGAGTTGGAATCGACTTGATGGCAGTGGGTTTGGTTTGGTTCTATATATAGATAGCTAAGGAGCTCTGGTGGTATAGTTCCTAAGGCATTGGACTACAAACCAGAAGGTTGGCGGTTCAAACCCACCAACCACTCTGTGGAAGGAAACCAGGCAAATCTACTTCTGTAAAGATTTACTGCCTTAGAAACCCAATGCGGGTTGCTATGAGTCGGAATCAACTCGATGGCAGTGTGTTTGTTTTTAGGTTTTATAGATAGATAGAAATAGATTTATCGATATAATTGTATGTGTATATAAGGTTATGTGCCTACTTACATATCTTTCCTGTCTGTGAAAAGGGCTTAGAATATCCCAAAAGGAGTGAATAGTAAAGCATCCAGTTCTTGACTTCTAAATTCCAGCTTCTATTAAAAATTGGCTGATTTCTATTAAGAATTGGCTGATTTCAGGACCGGGGCTGGGAAAGTTCAAGATGAGTCTGGAATATCATGTTGTGCTCAAAGAAAGATGGGGCATGTCAAAAGACAGAGGAGACAACATGAAGGGGCTCCCACTGGCCAAATCTGGGACAATTGGAGCATTACAATAACAAAACCTTTTGAATGGATTACAACCAATTGAATGAAATAAACCCCATAGTAATATAAATAAAAATTCATGAGTGTATCTGAAAGAGATTAAAAAATGAATAATGTGTGGGGAGAAGGAAAAGCTCTCCTCATACTAGAATGCCATTATCAGAGTGGTAGTTGATTCAGGCAGGAGTCAACGATGAATGCTAAGAAGTATTTCCTCATAAAATATTTATCAGTTACAAAGGAAAAATTAATCTATTTATGGTGAAGAAACTTGGCAGACACCACCTTGACAAGGTAATCAAGGTCAGCATCACCAGCAGCGGGACAGGTCAACAACATGTACTTCCTGAAGCTGTGATACAATAAGCCACCATCATTTCTAATGGAATCACTGCCAAGAAGGTCCCGTAAGTCCTGAGTCTGGGCATGAGGAAACATTGGACAGATCCAGTTCGAGAGGAATCCTGTAGAATGAAAGGCCTGTACTCTTTAAAAATTGCCAAGGCCATGAAGACAGGGCAAGACTGAGGAGTGTTCCAGAATGAAGGAAGATAAAGAGACAAGGCAACCAAATGAAACATGTGATGCTGAATTAAATCCTGACCAAAAAGGAAAATATTATTGTTGAGACAGTCGGTGGGGTCTGGATAAAGCTAGTGGACTGGGTATCAATGCGAGTTTCCTAGTTTGAGTAGTTGCATTGTGGTTATATAGGAGAGTGGCCTTGTTTAGGGGGAAATACACAGTGGAGTATTGAGAGGTGATGGGACATCATGTCTACAACTTAAATAGTTCAGAAAAAGAATCTGCTCAGAAGAGAATAAAGAAAATGAGAGTATTCATAGAAGGAGGCTGATGGAGCAAATACGATAAAATGTTAACAAATGAGAATCTCAGTGAAGAGGACACAGGGGCTCTTTGATACTGTTCTGGCAAAAAAAAAAAAAAAACTTTTTCTGACAATTTTTATTTATTTTAAAATGAATTTTAAGTTTTGGTGTATCCATTCAATTTTTCTGTGTACATACATGAACATATCTTTACATGCATATGTATACACATATCCAGAAACTTAGGCCTCAACCCAGGTTAATTAAATCAGAATTTTTGGGGCTTGGTATCCAAGTATGTGGATTTTAAAAACAAAACAACACTTTCCAGGTGATTCCAGTGTGTAATGAAGTTTGAGAACGCCGGGTGATTCCAGTAGTCCAGTCAAGTGTTGTAATCCAGCGTGCACGGTATCAGCTGTGGAGCTGGCTAAAAAACAGATTTTTGCAATCAGCCTCCAGAGAGTGGTATGCCGCGGGCCCAGGTTTGTGCGTTTGTTATAACCCATCTGGGAATGGTCCGCACCCCTCCCCCTCCCACGCAACGCTGGCATCGTGCGTGAAAAGCCCGTGAAAAGCCTGGCCTTCCTGGCGTCTGCGTACCACTATGGACTCTGCGTCCTCGCCTTTGGGGTCCAGCCCGGCGCTGCCCACCCTCCAGTGCGCTCCGCAGGCTGAGTTGCTGGAGGACGTGCTGCGGGAGCAGTTTGGGCGGCTGCACCAGCTGGCTGCCATCTGCAGGCTCAAGCGGCTGCCCTCGGGTGGCTACTCGTCCAGTGAGGGCCTCCAGTTGGTGTTAGAGCGGCGACGCGCGGCCAACGCGAAGGAGCGCGAGCGGGTGAGGCCCTGCCCGGCGCGGGCCGTCAGAACTATCTCGTCTGGGTCCGGGGAGGGTGCCGACTCCCTCACTACCAAACACCTGGTGGGACAACGGGCGAATTCTGACCTCTGGAGGCCCAACTAGTGTCTTTAGCTTGTTTTGGGTAAAGACAGTGCTTATCACCTTCTGCTGTCGTCCAACTGCTTGCTTGCGCGCCGCTGGGATGATTTCCTCAGCTGCTAAAAGCAACTGGACTCGTGTGGGAACAGGGTCTGGGACCTGAACAGAAGAGGCCCTTAACAACTTGAAAAATGCGTCCTCTGGCAGGTGTTTTGTAAGAGCTTATCAGCACATAGGAGTTGCGCTTAAATCTTGTAACAGCATGTATTGGTTGGGTATTTGGGACGCAAGGGGACCCCCTCACCTCCATTTTCCCTTGCCCTCTGCAATTAGGCCTCAAAAATAATAATAATAACGATCACACTGAGCCCCAGTACGTACGTCTCCAGGCTTCCATTCAACCACTTGTCAGTCCAGCAAAGTGAGTATTTCCCTGTCAGACAGAGTACCCGCTGCAACTCAAAAACTGAGTGGTTCTGTTGGTTGTTATTTGAGTGACATCTACTGGTAGCTTTTAGTATCTTTAAGCTCGGTCCTAAACTAGGTTTTCTTCTTTTCTGCTCTTTGAAGAGGCAAATCCCAGAAAGGAAAGGGTGAGCTGGCTGAAGACTGGAGGAATTCACTTTTGGGCCAAGGACTTGGAGAATTTCCGCTGAGGGCTGTTCCTAAACGCCCTAGGCCCTTTAGAAATGTAACAGTGAGCCAGCTAGGAGCTAGATGTGAGGAGAAAGGACAGAATTAGAAGTAGGAGACTTGTGGGGAAATTAGGAAGATTGCAAGAGTAGGGAAGCATGTTTTTATTAGGCACTAGATCCTTTTTTGAAAATAATTTTGTGATCTGTGATCTGTTTGGCTGTAAAATAAGATTCTGATCCAACAGTTTGTGTTTTGATTGGGTCTTCTCACTAGGGAAAAAAAAATTGTCTTCTGCAGATAATCGGTCCTGGTTTTATTTATTATTTTAAAGCTAATAGCCTTTATTATTTTCTAGAAAGATAAATGATAAAACTAATATACTTGGAAAATGTAGAATGACTAAAGAGATACCTATAACAGATATAACTATCATAAACATTTGTTATGTATATCCCCCAGGCTTTTTAGTCTAGCATGTGCACGCATGTTACTTTCCAAAACTGGTCATCATGCACATGTCTTTATATTACTAAACATTAAAAAAAATTCTTTCAAAGAACAACCTTTGACTGCAGTCTATCATATCTATGAATTATAATTTATCCAGTCTAATTGTTGGACATGCACACTATTTGCAGATTTCTACTGGTACATAAACCTATGTGCATGTCTGACAATTGCCTTGGAATAAAATGCTGAGAATTACTGGGACATAGAACATAACAAGGTCCCTAGGTGGCACAAATGGTTTGTACTCAATGTTGGCTTAAAGGTTGATGGTTTGAACCACCCCAGCAGCACTGAGAAAGAAAAGGCCTGACAATCTGTTCCCATAAAGATTACAAGCAAGATGAACCCTATGGAGCCTCTTTACTCTGTAACCCAGGGGATCACAATGAGCTATAATCCATTTGTAGGCAACCATCACCACTGCCAAACAACAACATATACAGTCTTTTGACTATTGGTACAGGTTGCCCAATTTTTTAAAAAATACTTTTTACTGTAATTTGGGTGAAATTTTATACAGATTTGTTTTTCCATTCAACAGTCATATGCTTTTGTTTCTTGACCCCGATTGACAGTCCCCACAATGGAACAGCTCTCTTTCTGCTTCTCCCTGTGGTTACTATTTCCCTGTGTCCTTCTTTCCTGTGCCTTCCTGCCGCCCTAGCTTTTTCCCTGTGTATGCTGCCCTTCTGATCTCCCGTGGTGGTTCTAAGGAGTATATCTCCCTGATGTCATTGTTCAGCTCATAAACCTGTTTACTGTTTGCCTGAGAGTTAAGCCATGGAAATGAGTTTAATTCCAGGTCTGAAGAATGACTAGGGGCCATAGTCTCCAGGGTTTCACCAGTCTCTATCCAACCTGTAATCCTGGTCTTTTTTTATGTGTTTGAATTTTGTTCCATATTTTTCTCCCACTCTATCCAGGATCTCTAATTTTGATCCCTTTCTGAATGGTTGGCATTGGTAGCCATCTAGTTCTGGTCTCAGGGTCCTATCAGCTGAGAGTCCTGTGATCCATTAGTCCCTTGGATTATTTCCATGTGTCTTTGATTTTCTTCACTCTTCTTTGCTCTGGACAAGGAGAGATCAGTAGTTGGCTGGCTATTCACAAACTTTGAAGACCACAGTCACTCCTCATCAAAATAGAATGTAGAACAATGTATCTGTGTACTATGTGGTACCAACTGAGTTTGATGGCTCCTGCGACCATGGTCCTAAGCCTATAGGGCCAATGACTTGCTCCCTCAAAGTGCTTGGTTGTGGTTAAGAAGTTTGTGGCTAACTTTGTTCTGTCTGCTCTAAATCTATATGGACATTTCTATAGCACATACAAATATGCATGTAGGAATATCGTCTGCCAAACCTGTAGATGGTCATGGGTATGTTCCCATTCACCTACCCATATCTGATAATCTTGTCTGTCTACGTATGTATCCACCTGTAGATTGATGTTTGCCATTACTGACAATACAGTATTGTATGTTGTTGTTGTTGTTGTTTGCCATCGAGTCAGCCCTGACTCGATGCGACCCCTCCTTGGGTTTCCGAGGCAGTATCACTACAGAAGTAGGAATGCCCAACCTTCCTTCTGAGGAGTGGCTGGTGGGTTTGAACCACCAGCCTTCTGGTTAGCAGTCAAGTGCCTTAGCCACTATGCTACCAGAGCTCCTATTGTGTATTTAATAGTATTTACCTTTGTTGTCTGCACCTCTTATGCACCTCTTCATGTCTTCCTTTTCCTTAATGATATTGTGAGGTCACATACTTTTGCTCTGTTGCCTTTTCCTCCACCCAAATCAAAACATGTCTCTTAATTAGCTAGCAATTTTCCCTTCCCTCCCCCTCATCTCTGGTATCCAACAAAGAAAGTTTCCTTCCATGTGTAAACCTTTCCATGACTTTTTATAATAATGGACTCATGCAGTATTTGTCCTCTGTGATTGACTTATTTCACTCAGCATAATGTTTTCCAAATTCATCCGCATTATGAGGTGACTCGCAGATTCTTCCTTATTCTTTAGTGTTTTGTAGTATTCCATCATGTGTATGTACCATAGTTTGGTTATCCATTCACCTCTTGATGGGCACTTAGGATGTTTCCATCTCTTTGCTATTGTGAACAGTGCTGTGATGAACACAGGTGTGCATTTGTCTGTTTGTGTCCTGGCTCTCAATACTTAGGGATCTATTCCTAGTAGTTGGATTGCTGGATCAAATGGTATTTTTATTTCCAACTTTTTAAGGAAGCACCATACATTTTCCACAGTGGTTATACCATTTTACAATTCTATCAGCAGTATATGAAAGCTCTAAACTCTTCACACCCGTTGCCAGCATTTGTTTTCTGTTTTGTCGAACTTTGTGATTATTGCTGGTGTGAGATGATATCTTGTTGTTTTGATTTGCATCTCTCTAATGGCTAATGATCATGAGCATTTACTCATGTGTTGATTGACCACCTGACTATCTTTGGTGAAATATCTGTTCATGCCTCTGCCCATTTCTTAATTGAGTTGTTTGTCTTTTTGATGTTGAGATATTGAAGTTTTCTAGAAATTTTAGAGATAAATCCCATTTCAGATATAGCATTGCCAAAAATATTCTCCCAATCTGTAGGTTTTCTTTTTACTTTTTTGGAAAAGTTTGTTGATATGTATAAGAATTTGATTGTTAGAAGGTCCCAGTCATCTAGTTTATCTTTTGCTGTTTGTGAATTTTTGGTTACAGTTGATAGTCTATCCTATAAATTAGGGCCCCTAAATTTGCCTCTATTTTATCTTTAATGAATTTTATAGTTTGGTGTTTTACATTTAGGTCTTTGATCCATCTTGAGTTTGTTTTTGTGTATGGTGTGAGGTATGAATCATGTTTCATTTTTCTGCAAATGTATATTTTGTTTTGCCAGCACCATTTGTTAAAGAGACTAGTTCTTCCACATTAAGTGGGTTTCAACTCCTTTTCAGCTATCCATAGTGGATAGATCTATTTCTGGATTCTCAATTCTGTTCCACTGGTCTGTGTGTCATTTTTCCAGTATCAGGCTGTTTTGACTACTTTGGCTGTTTAATAGGGTTTGGGATTGGGGAGTGTGAGACCTCCTACTTTGTTCTTCATCTTTAGTAGTCCCTTGCCTTTCTGAGGTCTCTTTCATTTCCATGTTAAATTAGAGATTGTTTTTTCCATGTCCTTAAAGATTGGTGATGGAACCTGGACTGGGATTACATTGAATCTATAGATTTCTTTGGGTAGTATTGATATTTTCACAATGTCCAGTCTCCCTATCCATGAGCATGGTATGTTCTTTCATTTATGTAGGTCCCTTATAGTTTCTTGTAGTAGTGTTTTATAGTTTTCTTCGGATAGGTCTTTTGTGTCCCTGGTAAGATTTATTCCTAAGTATTTTATCTTTTTGGTAGTTATCATAAATGGTATTGCTTTTTAAATTTATTTTTCAGAGAATCCATCTGATTTTTTTGTGTTGATTTTGTATCCTGCCACTTTGCTGAATCTTTCAATTATTTCCAGTAGTTTTCTTGCTGAGTTTCTTTTTTATTTTTTATTTATAGGATCATGTCATCTGCAAATAAAGACAGTTTTACTCCCTCTTTTCCAATTTGGATGCCTTTTATTTCTCTTTCTTGCCTTATTGCCCTGGCTAGGACTTCTAGCCAAGATTCAACAGTGTTGAATAAAAGTGGTGATATAGATCATCCTTGTCCAGTTCCTGATTGCAAAGTGGGTACTTTGAGTCTC